CCCCCCCCCCCGCCCCGCCTAGGAGTCTCTGTTTGACCCTGTCCTCCACGAGTGTGTTCTCTGTTGCTAATGCATCAGCCAGGAGCTTGGGCTTTGTTTCCCGCTGTCCACAGAGCGTCTCCCACGCCGGGGACATGGTCTGTGGCTCGCAGATGCTCTCAACGCACTTGTCGCATGATGCACGCGTGTGGCAGAGGCCAACTGGCCCCAGGTCGTCCCTGTGTCCCTTAGGCACGGGGCCCAGTGTGGAATCTATGAGGCTTGGGGCAAAATGAAGTCATGGGGCCCTTGTCCAAAAGTTACTAATAAATTCAAGACAAAACGGCAGAGCATGAACCTCACTTGGGGCCTTCTGCACAGAGCCGTCCTGGCTGAGGCTGCCTTCGCTCCTCTCCTGCAGTGGAGCCCGGCAGGGCCGGGGGGGCAGTGATTTGTGCCCACACCTCTGGCCTTGCTCCAGGCTGCCAGCTGCTGTCCCAGCCCTGCCTCCACTACCACTGCAGAGATGGGGGAGGCCCCGAGGCAGCCGGGAGCGAGGCTGCCCCAGCCCAGGTGCATGTCGCCTCCATCCAAGCGGCTGTCGAAACTCCAAAGGCTTTGGAGACCTGTGTGTTTTCCTCTTCTATTTTTATTTCCTCAAATCTAAGACCAAAAGAGGCCAGCGTCAGAGTTGTGGAGAGGTCTGAGCCAGGAGGAATGGATCCACAGTCAGAAGGGGAAGAATGTCAGGAGAAGTCCCCGTGGGTGTCCTTGGCCGGGCCTGGACAAGGCCGGGTCCTGGGAGGGGTGGCCCATGGGGCCATCAGATGCCCCCAATCTGGAGCTGGCCAGGGCTTCCCCACACTCCCGCCCCTGGAGGCACTGACTTCACTGACACTTGGTGAGCAGTGGCCCCCTGGAGTCGGGCAAGGCCCTGCGCATGCAAGATTCCTAACACCCAGACCTCATGGCCATTTCACCTCCCCGGTGGGGTCTAAATGTGAGGGCTTCAGATGAGCCTGCGTGAGCGCAAGTGCGAATGAACCCCACACGGGAGCTGCCTAAGTGCAGACACTTCGCTCTGCCCCTGTCCCTACTACGCCTGGCACGGCGGAGGCGCCCTGGGTTAGTGTTCTCCAGCCAATGACCTGCAAGCAAAGAGCGAGTGGTGTTGTACCCTGGGTTAGTGATCCAGCCAATGACCTGCAAGCAAAGAGCGAGTGGTGTTGTCCCCAGCACAAGCCCCGGGCCTGGAAAGGGCCACCGCGGCCATGACCCTGTACTGGCAGAGTGTGGGAGAAGGGTCAGAGGTGGGGGCCCATCTTGGGGCCTGGGGGTGATTGCAGTGTGCTGAATGGCAACTCCCCAAAAGGTACGCCCTGCCCTCTGCTGGGTGATGACATCACTTGGAAAATGGTAGTTGCAGAAGCCATGAAGCAAGGTCCTGCATCTGCAGACCCTAAACCCAACCACAGAGTCCTGGTCAGAGGCGGTGGTGGCAGGAGAACGGGAGCAGATGGGTTGGAGGCAGCCGAGGGCAGGGGCCTCGCCAGGGGCCTTCAGTGGGAGGCAGCCCTGGGATGCCTCGACTTCGACATCTGGCTCCAGGACCGTGAGAAGAAACGTCCTCGGCCTAAGCCACCAGTTTGTAGGATCTTGCTGCTGTGGCAGTGCGGGGAGCTCACGGGGTCGCTTTCTCCACAAGGGCGGAGAGGGAAGGACTCAAAAGCTCAGGCAGCCAGGGATGTAGTTCAGTGGTGCGGCCGCCCGCCTCTCAAGCCAAGATGCAGAGTTTGATCCCCTGTACAAACAAAACAAAACAAACAACAACAACAAAAAGCTCAAGACCCACTTGGAGGGGGAGGGGCCAGGCCAGGCCAGGTACACAGAAGAGCTGCGAGGCCCTGAGCCCAGCCAGGGAAGCCCCAAATTCCAGGTCAGGCTCTTGGGTGCAGGTTCCCGAGCAGTGGGAACAGCAGGGAGCCTGGTGCCAAGCCAGGTCCGGCCAGGTGTGGGTGCAGGGCTGACACACAAGCAGGACACCTGGAGGCCACGACCCCCACATTTTCCACGCAGCCCCAGGAGAGACCAGCCTGTCGGAGCACAGGGTTCCCTTAGCCTGTGATGGCCAGGGTGGTCCCAGGCATGGTTAGCCCGGGGCTTAGTGCCATCCCACCACGTCCGTGCCCAGCAGGGAGGACTGTAAGGCGGCTGCAGAAAGAGCTGCAGTACAGGCCTCTGCCAGTATGGCTTTCACTTCCCTGCCCTCCCAGGGGCCTGGGTACGGGCAGACCTGCATCTCCACGGCAGCTGGCCCTGGCCCTCCGCGATGCAGTAAGCGGGGCTGGGCATTGTGCCTCTGACGCCCCTCCCATCAGCAGCTGTGCAGAGAGGGGGTCCCAGAGGCTCAGATCTGTTCATTTCACAAGACAAGCCAGATTTGGGGATTGTTTTTTTTTTGTTTTTTTTTTTTCCACTCCAATCTTTTGATTTTTCAAAAACGTTTTGGCCACGAATTCATGTTTTTAAAAATGGGTAAACACCAGGCCGGGGAATAAGGCACGTCTGTGAGGCCACATCTGGACCTCCGGTTTATGGCTCTGGTCTTCGGCCTGCAAAAGAGAACAAAAGCTAAGCTGTGCATCGGGACGATGACAGGAGGGTTTGGAAATCGCAGGGGCTGGAAGTTGTTAGGAGTGGCCGCGGTTTGAGGCTGGTGGGGAGGGGTCAGCTGGGATTCTAGCGACGTCCATCAGGTGACCACAACATACACTTCAAAAAGAAAAGAAACCCAGTGTGCTCCCAAGCATAGGGCCCTGCCGCCTTTCCAAGGCTTGCAGTGAGGTTGCCATCACCCTCTGGAAACGTTGGGGCCATGTGCACCGGACAACACGGGCTCTGGGCTCCATGCGGCTTTAGTTTTGGGTGTATGTACCCCCAGTGTCCCTCCCTCCCTCCCTCTCTTGCCTTTATTTTATGGGGATGACTAAATCTTTCAACTATGTTAGCAGTAAACACAGCTAATTTACCCCCTGCCTCTTTCAAACAGCTGTTAACAGCTGCCCTGTAACTCAGTCAGGGTCTTTGCTGCCCAGCCTACCAAATCCACAAATCCATGTTCGTAGTTGGGTCCCATTCCCCCTCCCCCAGAGCCTCACAAAGCTGCATCAAACACTGACAAGGTGGTGCACACCCCCAGGCCCGCCCGAAGATAAACAGCAGGCTAATGGTGAGAAGTCCAGGGTTCGAGAGTGTACAGAAAAGCAACACCACACACATATGCAAACCCAAGAACCAGGACCAAATGACTCCTTTTATTGTAAAGTCAAAGCCCTCTTTATTGTGTCTCGTTATACAGAACGGTCACGAAGGGCTGTTCTGTGCAACAGCCGTGCGTACATCGGTCCAATACATAGGTCCAATTGTCAATAAATAACCTTAAATAAGAAAACAAACAGGTTGGAGGGAAGCAAGCTTGTTCTGAACGAGGGATGAAAGGAGGGTTTGCAACAGAGTTTCAGATGGAAATAAATAATCTCTCTGTCTCAACACAGCTATTTACACATTTTAATGTACAGACGAAGCTCATTTGAGCCTGGCTGGGTCACTAAAGTATTGGAAAAACTCACACCAAGCAGGAGTCACACAAAAGAGCCCCACATCTGCCAACAACAGAACAAATTCTAACACAAAATTTTCATCCCTCAACAGACAGGCAGGGAGAGCTGCAGCCCAAGCTACTCAAGAAGAAAAAAGAACAGAGAACAAAAGCTGAGCGCAGTGGTTCTGGGAACTGCCTCATGGAGGGTGGAGAACAGCTTCCCACGGGGCCAGGTTTCCCCAGGCCCCCGTTGTGCTGAGAAATGAGCTGTGTTCTTTGAGTAGATGTGGGAAACATCCCAGGGCAGCCCGGCCTGCCCCAAGCTGTGCATTTGCAGCTGGGAGCTGGTGCACCCCACACGGGGCGAGCAGCAGAGGTGAAGGGGGCTGGTACCAGGGCCGCAGCACAGCCTCCGCCACCGCCAAGTCACGGACCTCTGGATCAGTGTTGGCGAACCTTGGCACGCGCGCGGCAGCGGGCACGCACAGCCCTCTCTGTTGCACAAGAGCCAAGTGTCTGAGTTGTTTTTTCTACACTAAAACCTCAGTATTCAGGCTTAATGGCACTGTTGGCACTCATGATAAATAAGCAGGTCTGGGGCTGCCGTCCCGGGGACTCGGTCTCTAACAGGTTCGCCACCACTGCTCTAGATCCTTCTGTCTGGGGCTCGAGTCCACCACGTCCTGTGCCCATCAGCCTCCCCACTGCCCTGTCTCTTTCACTCCAAGCAGCAAATCTGTTTTCTGAGCTTTCTGCTGGGGGTCAGGAAGTGAAAAGAGGCAGCCGTGATGAACCTGGCAGGACCCAAGTCAGGCTTCATCTGAGAGCAGACGCCAAGGGCTCTGCTTCGAGAAGCCAGTGACCGTTTCCTTTCTCCTGTATCTATTAATTTAACGCCACGCTGAAATCACAAGCGCAGTACTACTGTCTGTCCTTGTCCATTTGCCACTTCATCCTGCTCCCCACCACAGGGGAGGCTGGAGGACCCACTCCTGCCTTCTGCAGCTGGCGCACACCTGGTAGGAGGGGGAGGGAAGCTGCCCCTGCGAGCTCACGTTCACCACGCCCAGCCAAATGCAGGCATTTGGAGCTGGGTAAACACAGGCCCTGCAGCCTCAATCTGAAAGCAGAATGGAACAGAAGGGGCCTCCCTGCCCTCCACTGCTGCTTATAAAGTCAGAATAAACCATGAAATAGGGATAAATCGTTTAGGAAAATATACCTGTAACATCCTAACCATTTTCATTCATTGGCTTTATTGTGACATTTATTACAAGAAATTCTGCATGTTTCCCTTCAGCACAGACACAGGTGCCCACCCTGGCCACGCCCCCTCCTCCTGCCGTTGATGGCTGGTTGCCCCGCTGAAGGGCACCCTAATTATCTCTGGAACACATCAGGGCATGGAGGGGACCGTACAGCTGACCACAGCCAGGCGACCTCTCCTTACAGATGTGTTTCATGCAGGCTTTCACCTGTAGTAGCTTGTAGGATCTTGTCCTTAGGATGCCACTGACGAAAAATGGATCAAAAGCCTTTTGGTGCCCAAACTCCTAGCACTATAAACCTGGGGAGGGACAGGGAGGCCTCGTAGAAGGCGGTCGGTCCGCCGGTTCCTCACCACCTTGAGGTGGGCGGCGGAGACGCTGGGCGGTGCCGCAGGGCGGACCTGGATGAAGGTGGCCCCAGGGCAGGGCTTCCACGAGGCGCTAGTGACAGCCACAGGCCCGGACCACCATGTTCCTGTATTTCTTCAGGATGACATTGGAGCTGTCGTCGAAGTAGAGGACGGAGATAGCATTGAGCTGGGTGGGGGCACAGCAGGGCTTGGGCACGGTGTCCGGGTTGATGAAGTGGACCTGTGGCGCATGAACGGAGACTGGTGAGAAGGGACCAGGCCCGGCACGGGCACCCGCATTTCTCTCAGGGACACCCCGTTCCGAGCACTCCGGGTCCTGAGCACAGGAGCCAGCGAAGTCTGGGGCCGCTCGCAGTTTGCAGACGAGGACAGGTAAAGGTCAGGTCTGTCCACCTGTTCTGCAGTACCGGGGACTGAACCCACCCCTTCATGCTGAGCTACCTCCCCAGCCCTTTTTAATTTTTTAAAATTTTGAGACAGGGGCTTAGATGCCACTGGAGTGCCTTTGACAAGCCAAGTAGGCCAGGAGTAAACCCTAGGGACAAAGAGGGGATTGAGGCGAACCACGGGAGAGGCCACCACTCTACCCAAGGTGACCACAGCCTGGCAGACTGCGGCCAGTGTCCTCCAAGAGCTGAGGGCCAGGGACAGGCCAGAGGCCAGGCATGTTGGCTTCCGATGGGAAACTTCCAGGTTTCCTAGCACAGTGGCTCTGCCGACCAAACAGGAGGCCATGGGCCCTGACAAGCGCTAATGTCCACCTGTCCCAGAAGGCAGACGGTGGAGCGGGCCAGTGTGAGGTGAGGGCAGACAGGTCCATCTACCCAGAACACGGAGCCTGACACCTGCGGACATGAGTCACAGGCAGTGCTGAGATCACTTCTGTTATCTCCAGGGACCAGAGCCTGTGCTACTCCAGGAGCCCAGGAACGTGTTTCATTTTTAAAATAAGAAGTCAGGTGTAGTGGTACATGGCTGTGATCCCAGAACTCTGGGAGGCTGAGGCAGGAGGGTGGAAAATAATAATTAAAATTAAAAAAGGAGGAGCTATAATTCACTGGTGAGAAACAAAGGGCCCAAAAAAAAAAAAAAACAGACTTTAGAGTGAAAGGCTACACTTATCTTTATACCACAGCAATCATGAAGTATAATTTTAATGCCCTCTTAGGGGGCAAGGGGCCCACAAAAGTGACGACTCAGCGGGGAGGCAGCACCAGGTGAGACACAGGCAGCTCTGTGGTCCTGTAGCCTGCACCCCCGCCGACCGCACCTGGGCAGCACCCACCAGCGTCTGCACGATGGCGTGGTTGGTGGCATTCATGTAGGAGTTCAGAGGGAAGGCACACTCCCCTTCACAGTAGTAGGCGGCGTAGCCTTCAGGTGCAATGATCCAGTCCTGGGGAGAGAGGACAGGTGGGGACCCAGCCATGCCGTGGACACCCTTCTCCTGTGTGACCGCAGCCAGGGGCGAAGGCTCAGGCCACGCCCACCCAGGCCATGGCGTCCAGCAGAAACCGCACAGTGACAAGGAGGGCAAGGCAGGTGCTGGGTGGACTGGCACAGGCAGGTCCCCTGCCGCACCTCAGGGCCAAAGGTGTCCAGCTCCGAAGTGTCCCCCGGAGGCCTGCAGCAGAATGCAAGCGCTGCCCTGCCCGCCTTGGAGAGTGGTCCATCCTGGGATGGACTCAGGAGGGAGCAAGCCTGCTACGTGCATGATCCCCACGGAAGAGGCCGGGCTCCCGCTGATCCTGCAGGGCGCCCTGTCCAGGACAGTTGATCTCCATGGGGCAGACCCACGGCCAAGCTCAGGGCTGCGTCTCCAGCCCCACAGGGCAGCAGCTGTACCAACGTCCTTCAGGACAGCACCTGGCAGACACCTGAGAGACTGAGGGCCCCAGGTTCCTCCTGCCCTACTCCATCCAGATGGCTGGGCGGGGGCAGTGTTCCAGGCACAGGACTGCTGAGACACGTGGCCTGAGTCGGGCCTACAGGTCCCTCTCCTGGGGATGTAAGTCAGGGCAGGGAGGAAGGGGCGCTGCTGTCCAGGCTCTCATGTGGCCTGGCCTGGCCAAGGGCAGGAATGAGGTGCCCCGGAGAACAGGTAGAGTCCAAGCCCTGGGGCTCCCAGGTGTGGCTCCTGCCCCCATCACATCTCGGCTGCCACTCCCGGGTGTCGCAGGACGCCCCTGAGCCTTCACCCAGGTCCCCTTCCCTATATTAGGCCTCTACCCGGGGCAGCCTGCCCCACCCAGCCAGGCCTTACCTGCCAGCCCAGGTCTCGGAAGCTGACGTACAGCTCATGCTTCTTACAGGCCTGCCTCTGGTCACTGCTACTGTTTTCTGGGGTGACAAGAAAACAAAGCAGCAGAAATCAGGGCAGAAGGAGAAATGCACACCCGCTCAGTTCGCCCTGTCTCTGGCGGGAGCCAAGTAGCAATCACTCAGAAGTAGAGGGTGGACGTCCTGGCACAAAAGCCCTAAGACACCCACAGTAGGGGAGTCGCCCACGCCCACCCCCTTCCCACCACGTCCTCACTCCGAGCCCTTCCTGGCTCCTCCCTGAGCGCCAGTCTCCTTTACACACCCGGACCTGTGCACATCCGCAGCTGATGTGAGGGCTTCCGGACCACCCGGCCAGCCCACCCCAATCGCGCTGGGGAGAAAGAGGTACAGACAGGGCCTGGCACCCGGCTGTCCAGCACCACCACAAAGAAGTGAGGGCAGCAAGACCAAGTCCACAGACCCTGCAGGAACAGATGCTTTGAGGTCTGTTTGGAGAACAACAGTCATGCACTGGGTCTTCCGGAAGTAGGTAAGTGTGTGGCGAGGGACGGTGCACTGGTAAACACTACAGAAAGCTCTCTGTCCAAGTATCTGTCCTGGGTCCCCCCACACGTACACCAACACTAGACTTCTCCACCCTGCAGCCACCGGGACTGGCTTCCTTCCTTTTTCCTTTTCTTCTTTCAGTTTGAAATAATTTCAATTTATTAATCGGTAAGTATGGAAGGCATATCCTTCCTAAGAGCTGTGGCTGATGGTGGCCCTAGGATCAGCCGTTTCTTAACCATCAGTCTTTCCTCTGGGCCTTTGAACGTGCTGTCTCCTACACCTGGATGCTCCATCTCCATTCTTCATGTCTGATTCTTGCTGTGACTTCTGTGTCACATCCTCAAAGAGATCATGTGATGTCACCACCGGGTCCCCAAAGCCTCTCACAGAACCTCCTGTCCACCAACGTTCGTGGAACCAGCATTCGCGCACACATGAAGAAGGGGTCGGCGGCTTGACTTCTGTCCATCCTTCCGATGCTACCCAGGCCTGAGCATCCACGTAGGTAACAGACAGCGGGTGAGGACCAGGGCAGATACCTCAGGATGGACAGGGAGCCCGGGAGAGAAGCGGGTCTGCCTTGCTCGCCTGACTCAGGAAAGATCAGGGGACTCCGGGATGGGCCATTCCCATCCTCTCTGGGGCAGCCTGGTGGCCACCTGGTGACTGTCACACGTCCTGTCACTGGAGCAGGGCTGATCCAATGGTGGGGCGTGGGGGCTTTCGGAGGAAGATCCGAGGTGAGAGGCTCATCCTTCTCCTCCCGTTGCCCGGCAACAGTGGTGAAGCTGCATCCACTGGCACTGGAGATGGCGGGGTAGGAACAGGCGCCGGGCTGGGAGTCCCGGGCTGAGCCCCTGCACGAGCCGGGTGCCACCCGCCGGGGTCTGCCTGGGCGTTTCCTCTGCCCATGGCCAGCAGCCCCAGCTGGGCCTCCAGGAGAGGGTCATCCTGTGCAGGGAGGGGCGGGCAGCACAAGCCCAGGGGTCCCTGCAGGTGTGGGCTCCAGGGTACAGCGGACACGTCCAGGAGAGGCCAGCACAGCCCACAGCAGGGGTGACCAGTGACATCCTCCTGCCCATCTGTGCAGAGAGCTGGAAAGCCCACTGCATCACACACAGCTTCAGCCATCAAGCGCCCTGACCGCATCCTCCGAACACACTCATCGGCCACTCGGGTGTCTGGCAAAGTAAAATGTCCCCCAGAGCCTGCTTCCCTGACTCCACGTGAGTGAGGAACGGCACCCAGCGGGCTGCTGCCGACCACAGAGACCAAGGCAAAGGCACCACCAGAGAAGAGCCAAGGGGCTGGGCGCAGCAGGCCACCTCTGCAGGACACTGACTCGGGCGGAAGTCTACACTGGCTGCTGTGACAACACACAGGGCCGCGGTTGGCAATGGCGCTGCATGGCCAACCCCCCCCACCGTTCCCTATGGGGTGGGGGTGGGGAAGGGAGCAGGAGGAGCAGTGCTGCAGCCCAGGAGCTTCATGTGAAGCAGCCTGAGTGAGGTAAGAGTCTGAGCACATTAGCTGGGGCCAGGGAACCTACTTCCTGTCTGGCGTGCTGAGTCTGGAAGACACATGGCTGGAAGAGCCATGCTAGAGCACAGTGGGGAGACAGTGGCTCTGCAGTAGATTAGCAATGTCTGTCAGGAGAGCGGGAGAGGTGAGCAGTGGCCCGAGTGCTGTCTTAAAGCTAAGCTGTGTATTAAGCTTTGCGTTCAAACCTGAGGCTGAGAACAGCTCACAAGACCAGTTGTGGGTGTGCTATGCGGGTGGGCACTGGCCCTGCCACCAGGGACCACAGCTGTCCCAGGAGAAAGTGGTTTGAACACCTGTGTATCACTAGGACCTCTTCTCAGCAGAACAGCAAGAACATGGAACAGAGCAGACACCCAGCTCTCTTGCCCCAGCCACACCATGCAGCAGAGCACAAGTGCACAGGAGGCAGCACCGGCTGCAGCCAATCCCAGGTCCCCTGGAGCAGCCGACAGATCACAGCCAGTGCTCGGCCTCAGCTGCCACCCCCACAGGTTATCTGGTGAAGGCAGCTAATTACTAGGGCGTTGGGCTGCGTGGGGCGAGGCACCGACTCCCCACCCCAAACCACACCATCTGAAGAGCCGCTGGAGTCGGAGGGCACAGAGGGGCTGTGGGAAAGAGCTCTGCGCAGGCTGCAGGCTGGAGCACGTGTCCCGCCCGCTGCACAGAGGGCTGTGTGCGTGCCAGAGGCTTCCACTCCTGTGGCCCTGGCCCGTGAGGTGAGCACTTCAAACAGCACGGGCACCTGTGCCCACGCACAGCACACGAGAGGTGCGGGCTGACTCAACCCGGGGTGGGGATGGTGCCTTGTTTTGGTCTTTCCTTTTCTCTCTCTTTCTTTGTTTTTCCAGGCAGGGTTTGGAAGAACTTCGAACGATGCCAGGAAACAGAAATCCACAGGAAAGGAGCAGATGCCCAGCGAGGCACAGTAGCTGCCTGGGGTTACCGGCGTGACCCTTGGTCAGGGCTTGCGGAGGACGCTGTGGGAAAATCCAGTGGGGGCTTCTAGGACCGCATGGCCCCCTGCTCTCCTGCCCCACCCAGGGCACACCTGGTAGACTAGAGTGAAGGAATTCGCCAGCACCTCTCAACCATCCAGGCTCTGAGCTGCGGCCCGCCGGTCTTCCCTCTTTTCATCGTGCCTCTGGAAGCATCTGCTTGGGATGAATTTGGAACTCCAGATGTGGCTCTGAAGATGCTTCAGCCCACACAGTGGCCGCCGCCGGCCTCAGCCACCACAACCCAAGGGGCCGTAAAGCCTCCCCCCTTTGCCTCTGCCCCTGCAGCCTGGGGCTGCTGCTGCCCACAGCTGCAACTGACAGCCACTCCTGGCCATCCTGAATCAGCACTCTGGGGAGCCCTCACCAGGGCTCACACTGAACAGTCCCAAGAGTCGAAGTGGAGGAGGCCCCCAGATACAAAGAAAGAGGTACAGGTGGCTTTTGACTTGAGGGCTCATAGGTCCCACTGAGAAACCCACAAAGGCCCTATCTCCCCACAGTGGGCCACTGATCTCTACCTGGGCCCCAGGGGAGCCCCTGCCACCAGGAAGCCTTGCTGTTAACAAGGTCACTGCACAGCAGGTTCCCTCCTTCCTAGAAAGGAAAAGCAATTTAACCTTCAGGGCAGGTGGGGCAGGCAGAGCCTCGGACAAGATAGGTACGCTGGGGGGGGGCTGCGTAGGAATTTCTAAACCTTCCTGTGTCCCCAGGCAGGCTTCCTGGGGTCAGCTCAGAGCGCTCTTTCTTCAGGACCAAAAAGCCACGAGGGGACAGGCTCTGGGGGCCAGACAGTGGACAGAGGCGCCTGGCTCGTCAGTTAATGAGAAAGCCATTTCCCACCGCTGCTGTTGCAGATGAACACCAACACAGTGGCGTCAAAGCAGACATGTTTATTACGGCCCAGCTCTCAAACTGAGGGTCCACTGTGGGTCCACCTGGTAAAGCCAAGGTGCTATGGGATGCCTCTGTCCAGAGCTCGGGGACACAGCTTCTCCCTGGTCCGTGCCCACCCCATCCCTGAGGCAGATCTCACACCTCCCTGACCACACAGGTAAAGGATCTCTACCCCTCACAGGGACTGCAGCTCCCCAGCGTCACCTGATCCATCACCCGGGAGAAGATGCCTTCATTGAGGTCAGCTGAATTCCAGTTCCTGATCCATCACCCGGGAGAAGATGCCTTCATTGAGGTCAGCTGAATTCCAGTGTCTGAAATTCGACAGGAATCCTAACTTCCCTTTGCCATGTGTGTCAATCCAGAGAGGGAGACCAGGAGGGGCCAATATTTGCTCACCATGAACAGCTTCATGAGCAGCAAGCAGCAAAGGGCGCCCTCAGGCCATAGGTCGCCTGGCCAGGAGATGTGACAGGGGCGTTTCCGGCTGCAGGCTGTGGCCATGGGCCTGGCCGTCCTCTCTGCAGCCCACTGGTTTGTGGGTGACGTTACTGACTTGAAGCCCAAGACGCATCTTCTGCTATGAGGCAGCCCTGCCCGTGTGGGGAGTACTGGCCACAGCATCCTCAGACTGGGACCCAGTGCCCCGTCCTCACCCGAAATGCACCATCCTGGGATCCCAGCAACCCCGGCGCCATCCATGACCCCAATCAGCCTGTGGGGAAAGGGACCACGTCCCAGCCGCGGCACAACGCTCAGGACAAAGCCCGGCTATTTGTCGGCAACTCAGTAGACATCTGCCCGGGGACACCGAAGCTCACCTAGGCCAGGCAGGTGCCAGACCACACCAAGCGGGCAGGTGTGTCCAGCACAGGGGACGCCCCAGCCTCCCGGGGTTCGCATCCCAGGCTGCCGCTTGCTTGCTGTGTACCTTTGGACAAGTTACTCAACCCCCTGAGCCCCAAGTCTGTCCCTCTGTACAGTGGGAGGCCACCTGTCTTGGAGCCTCAGGGGGCTCCACGTAGCATAACTGTTTGTGATGAACCATGCAATGTTATCTTGGTTTATAGTTCTTTTCCCTCGCATAAGGAAACACTTCAAAGAAACAGTATCCCAAATAATACACAAAAAACCCTTTCGTGTACATTTGAAAAGTACTTACACCGGTCATGAGTTTCAAATATTTTTCAATATTTAGGAAATAAATGAAGTTTACAGGAGACTCTTTTTCCATTTCCTCCTCCCCTGCCCCAGAGACGACCACCCGTGAGCCCGGAAATCACCCCTCGGTGTGCCAGTGCAGGTGTAAACGTGGCCACTGTTCCATCTCTCTAGAAATGTACACACTCGGCATCTTGTATGCTAACGTTTTGCTCTTTGCTTCTAAGATTAGTTTTTTGCTTTACAGACATAAGATGTGAAATTTGCACAGGAAGTGACTGGGGGTTTGTTTCCCGCTGCATCTGTCCGGACCCATCTGGCAAGCACCTACATGGGTCCCCTGGGGTCCCCAATCTGCATGCTGAACCCTGCCCCGCCCCTCGTACCTGGCACACTGGACATCCTCAGTGCCTCCTGGTTCTTGGGCGTCTTGGAGCGGTTCTGGCTGCGCTGCTTGCCTCCCGTGGACCGGACGCTGCGAAGGTGCACCTCTGTGGCCTTGAAGAAGGCCACCATGAAGGGCTGCTTGTTCTGGGGCCCGTGCCGCCCGATCAGGCCTGCCAGCTTGGGGTTGATGCTCTGCCCTAGACAGGAAGCAGCAGAGGGAAGTAGGTACAGGAAAGAGACACCGTTCAGCCACATGCAGGCTGTTCACTTATCCAGCAAGCACCGCCAAGCATTCAGTCTGGGCCAGGAAGTGTTGTAGGAAAATAGAATGCCCTGGGCCCTGAGCTTCCACGCTGGCGGGGAAGGCAGGCGGCAACACAACTGGCAGGTGTCCAGTGGTGCTAAATACGTGTACGGAGAACAATGAAACAGGGCTGGGGACGGGCCTGCAAGGAGTTGGGCTGAGGTTTTCAGAAGTCTGAAGCTAGAGCCATGCATTTCATTGGCCAGAGCGGGTCACGCGGTCAACCTAATTTTGCCGGGTGGGCAGGATTCCTATTCTGTGTCCTGGGGAGCAGAAAGAGTTGCAGCTGGCCCCTCCCCGCAAGTACAGTGGAGGGGCCACCCGAGCAGGTGTATGGTGACAGGGCCGGGGGCCAAGAGGGTGTCTTGGCAGAAGCCACTCCAGCAGCGACCTGCAAAGACAGGAGTCTCGGTACCAGGAGCAGTGAGGGTCCTGCTGGGCGGGAGGGGTGCAGGTCACCCTGGGTCCTGTGGGCACCTGCGAACGTGCACATGCATTCAGAAACTCAGGATGTGGCTTTATGTGGAGGTGTAATTTGTCCATGTCGGATGAGGGTGGGCCTCCTGAGACTGCCAGGGAAGGACACAGACACACAGGCACGCTCAAGAGCAAGAGGCCAAGCTGCTAAGGAGCCAGGAGCCACAGCCAGAGGTGGCAAGGCGGGTCCTTCCCCGGAGCCTCCGGAGGGGCCGCAACCAACCTACAACCTCGACCTGGACTCGGGGTCCCAGACCGTGGGCGAGCAAGGCCCTGCTGTGCTCACCCGTCTGCGGGTGCTGTCAGGGCTAAGACACAGCCAAAGGCCACCTTGGGCTGCACACCTGGAGCCTGGACGGCAGGGGTTCAGGACGGAAGTGGAGAGACCAGGAGAGGCAGATAAGGAGCCGAGACGCTGGCCCGGGGTGGCAGACGGTGAGGTGGGAAGAATGGTCAGATGTTCACAGTTAGTTCTGCAAACCCACTTTGGAAATGATTTTGGTTTTAATGTTAGTTCGTGAACCGAGGCGCCAGAAAGTTGGAGAAATGTACAGGGAGGGGCAGTGTGCCTATTGCTGGGTCTCCCCCAGGAGCTGCTGACACCTGTGACAACCAGAATGCGAATCCTGGCCAGAAGAACAGCAGTTCTGGATTCGTTTTCAAAGAAACTGAACTTCTTGGGACCTGGAGGCATCTGGCTGGAGCCGTGGAAGACGGGAGGGGCCTTCTACCATGGCGGCAAAACTGAGAAAAGGCTGGAGCTCAGAAGACAAAATACAGTTTGGTTTACCACCGTTTGATACCCAAGGGAAGCAGCAGGCGATGGGATCCAGCCAGTGGCAGGGGTGAGCTTGGGTCTGGGTAGAGAGGAACAGGCCCATGCCACCTTCCAGGGATCAAGTCCTACAGGGCAGAAGGGCAGTGGAAGGCCGCCGGGGGGTGCTGGAGTCCCCAGTGTGGAGAAGGAGTTGAAGCCGGGAGACCAGCGCCCTGGACCACATGTAGCTGGATGTGCAAAGGAACCACAGAGCCAGGGGTGTGGCAGGGACCACGCAGGATGACGGTCATGAAGGGTCTGGAAGGAGCCTGGACAGGAGGAGGGGGACACCCGGAGGATGTGGGGTCCTGGAAAGCGAGGGGGTGGCCTCCGTGTCTGTGCTGTGCTGGCGGCCATGCAATAAGGCCCAGAAAGCAGCCGCCCAAATGTCTCTGGGCTCTGACACAGCGGGTCTTGGGGGACACGGGTCTAATGCCAGGTCTGGTGACAGCGCACACTCGGGGCAGACAGAGACAAAGCCCGTTTCCTGCAGCCTGAGCTCAGTGAGGCCCAGAAATCCACCAAGGACAGGCTGTGAACCCCGGGAAGCCAACTGAGTCGGGACATCCCCGTTAAGGAGGTCAAGGCCAGTGACATCAGGTTCCGGAGGGCTCTGCCTGGCCACATCTGAGTTAATGTCACCGGGAGTCACTGGCCTCCCAGCACCAGCGCAGTACCAGGGTGTTTGCTTTGGTTTTTAACAGCTAATGCACAAAAGAACAAACATCCCAGCCCCCCCATTTCACCTCCCCACGTTAATGTGTGGCTTTCCTGCATTCTTGAGTGGGGTTTCCACGAGTTCATCCATCTAAAACGTGAATGATTCTATAAAGGAACCATTAAAGCTGAGCCCCTAGGAATAGTGTTTCCCCCCTGGAAGGCTTTTAGGGCAAAATAAAAATGCCTGGCATGAAAACCTGATGCCATTCCAGATACCTCCAAGCCCAGACCCAGGAGCGGTTTCTGGCTCACTCTTCTGACCATGGGGCAGCACGGCCAGGACAGAGGCACGGGGACAGCGTCCACCACTGAGCCGCCCATGTGGCCAAGACAAAGCTGTGGGCTGGGACCTCGATTTCCTCATCTGTAAAATGCAGAAGGCACCACAGGCCCTATCCACCCCCTCCCGGTAAGCGATCCAATTTGCATTTAGGCAGCTGCATCTTAACCTAACTTCACCCTGGCCTCAGGGGTGGGGCCTGCGGTTTAATAAGAGGTAACTAATCCCTGGTATTAGGGTAGCGTCTATGACCCAGTTCTGTCAGGGCACGAAAGAGAGGGGTCCTGGAAGTTCCTGGGAAGTCACTGTCCTACTCGAAGGTCCAGAGGGAAACTTCCTCGCCCTCTGGATAGGACCGAGGGAGGGGAGGCTGACAAACAAGGCTGACTCCGTACAGGAAGAGCAGGAAGCTAAGGTGGCCAGTGGCACTGAGCCGTCACTGGAGCATTCCAGCCTTGCAGCTCACATTCGCACCCCAGACACCCAGAAGCACGACTTCCCTTGTTCAGTCCAAGCCAGTGCTCCAGGCTGCTCTTGCCTCCTTTGCAGAGGCTGAGGAGAGGGGGCATGGAGCCGGGCATGTCAGGGCTGGCACAGAGCAGGCCCTCAGAGGACAGAGGTAGAATCTTCCCCTCTGTGGCTGAGTTAGGGAAGATTTAGGTTTCAACTCAAAGGCGGAAAGACAACCTGACAGGCACATTCAACAACAACCAAATCCCAGGGATACAGAAAACGGGCAGGCGATTCCTCAAGAGTTAAATGCACAGGCCCGAGAACGGAATAGCTGCGCCACCTGGACTCAGGGGTCCACAGCACCAGGGCCAAAAGCCAAAGAGTGGGAAGAGTGACAGATGTGTGAGATCGCAGGGCGCCTGCAGACCAGAGAAGGCACCAAGCCGGAAAGGGCAGCATGGCGGAGGTCTGGGCTGGGGACACCCTGCACTGTCACACGTCGAGCGGCAGCCTGGCTTCTCCCCAGGAAGGCGAGGAGCATCCCCCGGTAGTGACAAGCAAACTGTCCCAGGTATTGCCACACGTGCCCTAAGTAAGAGACAGTGGGCCTGCTTCAGCGCTGAGGCTGGCTCCCTACTCAATCTGACTTGTCCCAGGTGTTGAACACAAATAATTAAAGTAATTGTACACACCAACGACGCAGATATATTTCCACATCTTAACCACCTATGTTATGTACATAGGTAAAATTTATTTTACTTTAATATTGCCAGAAAGGGCCAAGGAAGGTTACAGTGGGGGCGAAGTCCCTTTCCTTTTGTGAAGTCACAGTGTACTAGCTTTAGTTCGCGTAATTACTTATATTTAAATGTCCAGCAAGAACATAAAAAGCATAGGGGTTGGTGTAGGTGAATTTAAGAACCTAGGCAGGGAGACAATATACACAGAGGAGTTTACACAATCTGTGTCTCTGGGATTTATACTTCAGCTGAGGCTTAATACTTCTTTTTAAAAGCCTGTGGGTTTGCCCAAGAGCAGCCACATTTTGCAAAACAAACAAACAAACAAACAAAGCAGATGCCCTATGGAACTTGAATTTCAGATAAATAAATAAATACTGTTCGCAATACGTGAAAGACACTTAAGCTGGGCAGTTATTTGTGGTCCTCCAAATCTAACACAGCACCCTGTATCTTGCCTGCAAAGGCAAGCTTTTCTAGGTGTGACACCAGGACACTTCACAGGCAACATCCGGTCCACCTGACAGCCAGGGAGTGCGGAGGCCACCGCCTTCTGGGCCGCTCTCACGGCACTTGTGGCTTGCCTTCCCCAGGGACGTTTTGTTTTTATTGTGTTGCTTTTAAAGCCTTCATTTTTAAATTAAGGTCACCATAAAATCAATCTCTACTCTTCCACTGTGCGAATCTCTGAGCATTGCCCATTGTGCGGATCTGGTCGGAATGCAGCAGGCCCGGCCCCAGCGCTTCCCTCCGGTTGTCTGGCCTCTGCTCGGTTCTCAGCAGCGTGCTGCCCATCCCAGGGGACGTGTGGCCGTGCCTGGAGACGTGTGTGCTGTCAGCGCTGGGCAGATGCCACGGCACCGAATAAAGAGAGGCCGGGCAGCCGCAAAGGGCCCCGCTAGGCACAGGTGGGCCCCACACTGAGTTATGGAGCCCGAACACCAACAAGCCAGCGCTGAGAAACTGCAGCTCCTGACCACAGCGTCCGCACATGCTCACCGTGTCCCCATGGCTCGAGATATTTCATACAGACGGCCTCCTCCAGTCTGGCTTATGGAAGTCTGCATGTCTTGGAGATTTATCCGTGTGGCCATTTCTGGAGCGCATCCTTCTGGTTGTGCATGGTACGCCACAGACACAGGCATCCCAGTTGCTTGTACATTCTCCAGTATTATGAATATAATGAGAAACACCCATCCAGGCTGCAGGGTGAACCCGACTTTTCATTTTCTGGATGGGAAGTGAGGCCCTCCACGATGCCGGCTTCCCTTGGGCCTCCACACGATGTAGAGTTCCCAATGGCCACAGCGGCTGTCTGCCAGGCTGATCCCCTGCCAAGCAGAGTCCCCCAGGCTGCCCTCCACCCTCGGAGGCCACAAATGTGACCCTTCCTGGCTTCACTTGAA